GTTTGATTTTTAGGAATTGATTTTGTTTAATTCTATCAACATTGTATTTCGTCAGTGTTACCAAACTCGATTCGGTTAAAATTATGGGCACGCTTTCATTGGAAAACGCTTTTGGTGGGATAATGCACTTCCGGTGTTGCTAAGTGGTCTTTCGATGTCACCGGAAATGAAACCCAGATTTATCGACATAACGTGTTGGAATCACGGTAGTCGCACGAGGTCCGAGATTTAGAAATCTTTTTTAAAAAATAGTAGAGAATTCAATGAAAAACGAGGGTTAAAAGTTAATGGAATTTTCGAGTTGTAAAAGAATCTATTTTCGGTGTCGGAATAATTTAATGGATTTCTAACGAGGTGAATAAAGCGGTTGGTGGCCATTCGCGTATAAATACATGTTAATTAGGACCGTAAATAGGTTTCTATTACAAATGACCTTTTCACGCCATATTGAAAATTCTTTGGCTTGGAGTTAAATAGTCCTATTTTAGTTGGGTAATCAAATGTGTTTTAGTGACTTGAAGGCGAAAGCTTGAGTAAGATTCATCAAAAACGGTATTAGTCAAGGCTACCGATTTCCTATTCCGTGACAATAGGCCTCGGTCTATTTGTAGGCATAGGCCTATGGCATGACATCATCATGCTTTAGAGCTGTCGTTCCTCAAAGATACAGATCAACTATTTTTGGGATTGATATGGGTCTTTATTACAATGTAAATAGTCTTCAGAAGTAGGCCTACTAGACATCTACAAAAAAAATCGCACAATTCCTTCATATTATTAACCTCAAACCACACATTTCACTTTCTATTTCTGTATATTATGACAGAGTCTGAAGTAAAAACGAGTCGTCATTTTAACTTTAAATGGCGGATAATTCTAGACAATGTTTTGAAGGCACAAAAATCTGATATCATAGCTTGATTTACAAAAAAACTATGTTGTAACAATAGCAGTTTAAAAGGCATAAAACGTTTAATGAAGAATATAAAATAGAAAGGTAACGAGATAAATCAAACGCACCTGCGTGTTGTCACCAAACTCGTCACGTGCATTGCCATAACGGTTACCTAGCAACGCATGTGCAGTTATGGTTAAATGATTATGTTTAAAGATATAATTTTGATTTTTTGACTCTTGTGTGATGTAGTTTGCTATTAATTCGTCTTCTCTCTATCAAATTCTGAAAAAATCGTATTTCCTTAGTCGTTGACACATAAACCAAAGCATAAAAAGAGCGGGAAAATGGCTGTTGCCATGCACGAGGTCGATCACGTGCTAAGACTGGCATACAATATTTTCACCTGGGAAAGCTCGAGTTTTAACTGAGTTTCAATCCTGACAAAAAATTAATTACCGAGGACCTCTGTGAAAAAGTGGTGGAAAAGAATTAATTAAAATAAATAGTTTCGTCATAGCATACCGTGGTTAATTTTACTTTCTTCAGTTTCATAGAAAATTTCTATTAACGCGAATTTCCGATGTAGCCAAAATCTGTAAAAATTCGCTACTTTAAATACATCCAGATATTCTTAAGTGTTTCATCAGAAATAACCACTGTACCTTATTACATCAGCTGACCAAAAATACTATTTTGAGAAACTGAAAAAATGTATATGAAATGAATGGAGTTTTACGTCCTACTTTTCTGCACCATGTGGGCTAATGAAGACAGGGGAAAAATATGATATGCTATATTCTATACCAGCTGAAAGTATATATTTGCTAGAGTTATCTATTTGTGCATCCGAGGTCTAAAGTTGAAAATCTTGTCTTTTAGCATTGTTTCAAAAGTCTTTTCTCTTTAAAATTACTAATTAATTTATACTAGCAGAACCACGGTGCATTCAGAATGGTTCAATTTGCGAGACTATCAAGACTTTCAACGAATGGACTAAGTTGTCTTTCAAACGTGGAGAAAATTGACAGCGGGTTAAAGGTGGAATTAATGTTAATCTCTCTACTTGAGAAAGAGATTAAACTAATCCAGGCTTTAAACCTGTCAATTCCAACTGTTTTAGAAATATTGATCGGAACTTAAATTCTGTAATTTAAGTTTTATTTGTTAGTAACTCATGTCAAGTTTTAAATATATTATAATATTTTGCCCCCAAAAATGAGCTAAAACGTATTCAGTTGTATCGATAAACATGAAACGACGTCATGTTTCAGAACTGCCAAAACCCGACATTCAAATCTAGAGAAGTAAAGAATTCCGAAATAATTTTTGTAAAAATTACGTAAATACCCTGTTGACATTTATCTACATATAAGCTTACTCCGGGTACGTTTTCATACTTTAGTCAACACAAAATCGGAAGCATATTTTACACCATAACGCAGATGGCAAAAGGGTTTTCAAATACTTTACATCTGCAAACGAAAAACGTTTTAAGCGGCTTTTGTTTATTTCTTTCTTGCACTATTTTATTTTGTTGTTTTGTCTTTCCATACAAGAGATATAGCCAGCACCGCTTTACCCAAATATTTAGTTCATTATGAAGTACTTACTCATATGAAAAGTTCATTAGCTGCTACCAATGTTTCGCCGATAATTGTTTTGGATTTCAAGTTTGTTTTGTGGTTCGGATTGTTAGTACATGGTTTATTTTATTCTTTATCTTTGTATCTTTCAATTCCTGCTGCTCTTATTATAATTTCGATTTTTATCTATGATAGTGATTTAAATATATTTATCTCTATCTCTATATTTTCGTTTTTATTTCAATAATTTATAATTTTATTCACTCGTAAGTTCTTCGTTGAGCTATTCAGAAATTTCGTTTATTTAATTTCTAAAAAGAAAATTTTTCTCTCATTTCAAGAGTTAAATCTGTAAATTTTTATTCAAATGATGGCGTAATAATGATGCTAGAAGAAACCTGCCTAGCAACAGTTTAACAGCAGGCGAGATAGAGGTTGTAGTAGTAAAATGAATATTACTATGAATGACACATTAAACTGGGTCGAGATGGTGAAAACCTGAGATAAAACTAAAGTCTCTGACAGTCTGCTTTAACTATTCCGGGAAATTACAGGATACTGTCAATAAAAACAACTTTTTAACATGCAATTTATCAAAGTTCAAAATCATTACATTAACCTACATCTAAAATCTAAACAAATAGTGGAATTTTCCTACTATAGAAACTATAATAAATATCCGTACTAAAAAGACAATTACTTTAATAAAAACCTCGTAAAAAGTATTGCAAAATCGGGAGTATTAGTTGTATATTAGTGGATTCCTCCAAAGAGAAGTATCATCAGGTGTTTCGAATGAGCATGCATGGTCTGCATTGTTTACAGAAACTAAAATAAAAATCCGTACAAGACAATTTCGTTAATCAAAGTTTCGTCTAAAGTATTGCAAAATCGGGAGTAAAAGTTGTATAGCAGTAACTCCTCCAAAGAAAAGTACCATCAGGTGTTTCACAACACACACTATTATTTCAATACCTTGCCACTTTTCAAATGATGAAAAAAAAATAACAGTGACTTTAGATTTGTAGTTGACTAATTGATAAAAAGAATCAGAAGAAAGGTGTAAAGTAAAAGATCGACATTAAAGCAATCACGTTTTAAGCAATTTCTTCAAAAAATATTTGCAAGTTCTTTACTATTCTAGATCTTACTGTGGGATATTGGCAATTTAATAACCTGGCATAATACATTATTGGGCATAATATAATGACTAGCTAGTCATAGAATATATTTTGCCTCTATCAGGCTTTGACTCATTTCGATGCAAAAAAAATACATGATTAATGTTTGATGTATATTTATTAATGATCATTTTCAATAAACAATATAAATTATTCAATAAATATAAATATTATAATACATAAATAAATAATTAGATGGATGGAATAATTTTAATTATTATAATACTGTAAAAATGGAGGGATCTTTTGTTTTGGCTGGGTTTTGTGCAGTTTTAAACAAAAATGTATTAGTAGTGTAATTTCTCATCAATCCCAATGCTTTAGAATTTAAAATGTGATGTTGTATTGTGTAATATATATTTAAGTTTCAATCAATTTTTATATTTAAAACACAATATTTTTGCAATCATATTTGTTTGGAATTTTTCAATACTTAAAGTCTTTAAATGGCATTTATCAATTGTGAGTACGATATATAGACACAGCTTTATGGAACAACAAATTTAACCAGTGATTGTTGTTCTATAAACCTTTGTCTATATATTCTACCAATACTTGTTTGAAGAATCTTTTTTGAGTATGAAATGTAGTAATTTTTTTTCTTATAAAATTTATTATCACATCAAAGATTCTGAGGTCAGAATTTTTTTACTTATATTTTACTTTTTGTTTTATTGTCCTTATAATGCTGTTTATTGACATGAAAATCATGAGAATATGGAATGAATGGATTCTGTAAAATGGATGGAGTAGATTATCACAGAAACGCTTAATAATCCTCAAATATAAACTTTATTTATCAATTAGAACCATTGCCTACTCTGGTAATATACTGATCACTGTCTTATAAATCATTCATTAAAGCATAAATATATTGAACACAGCAAAATAATGTTATAATACTGATCAAGAAAACCAATTGGATATGATTTCTTGTGAAGAAAATGGAAATGTATGAAAACTCTAGAAAGTTAAATGATGTAATGAATCATAATTTAAGAAAATGGCAACAGGTATATAGTTTCTCCTGAAGGTAAATAAATGTAGTAGAATGTATTTGAACAGAAATGGTAAATTAACTTGTATTTAATGCTGGGTTAACTTGGAGTTTGACTTCAACCATTAATACTGTTTGAGAAATATTTGAACTGGACTGGTACCATTTGATGATCTGGGTATTTTTTCACAAAGCATCTATCTTTTCAGGAATCATCTCTGATCTTCTGGTGAATAGAAACCTGACTTCCTGGCATCAGTTTATTAAAAAAAAATGGCAGCAATTTGTGAGCCTGGAAATCAAATTTATAAAAATGCGAGAATTTACATAAATAATTGGATTTAAGTCAAATGCTTCTCTCCCTGAAAAAAAAAACTGGGAAAAGATGAAAACAATGATAAAAAAGGGAAACAAAAAATCAAGAAGCAGAAAAAGAAAGAATCACAGAGAAGAAGAACCAAAAAACTTTGAAAAAGATATTCTCAGATTTTTTGACACAAAAAGAATAAAATATACATAAATATAAAAACTGTCAATAATTTTAATTATTACCTCTAGGGATAATAAGATAATATCTTAGATACCTACATTATAAATATTAAGATATAGAAATATTAAAACAGAACATGAAACATGTTGTTATTCAGAGTTTCAAACTATGTGATCTTCAGATGTATATAGAAATAAAAACAAAGCACTAAAGTCTTTGAAGATGATATCTTTTTGAGAACAGGTCTAATGAAATGAAAAGAATGGAGTTTTCCTAAGGACCCGTTGGTAAAAAGGATCCTTAATTGTGAACCTGAGTTGTTATCCTTGTAAAATATAGTTCTTTCTTTCTTTCAGGTCAAGTGCTAAATATTTTGCTAATAAGCAGTTTTTTTGTTCTGCACAAAAGCAGGACTCGATTAACAAGAACGTTGTTTCTGATGTCCACAAAACAAGATACCCCAAAAATTGCTTCAGTATCAAATCATTAATTTCATTCCAAATTCCAATAACACTTTAACGAAATTTTAAGTCAAGTATTTCGAAACCAAACATTGAAATGTCAAGTTCATTTTTTATTTCAACATCATCATGATGAAAATACTCTACTGCTGCCCTTATAGCTCTCTATATCATTAAATTACAGTTTAAAATTGATTAAAACCAGCTTGAATAACCCCTAATCTAGCCCCAAGATGTTTGCCTAAATCTTTAAAAACACTCGAAGAGACGCAATCCATATGTTATGGCGTTAATGACAGATTCTGGTGTAAAGACACGTAATAGTAATGTTCAGTTTAAAGCTACCGTGAGCCAGTTTATTTGATGCTAAAAACATCAGAGATTCTGAAATATATTCTCATGGCAACTTTCATTATTGACAACCATACACAACTGGTAATCACTATGGTGTGAAGGTAGAGATTCTGAAATATAAATTCTATAAGAGGTATGATACAAATATTCTAACTGTATTGAAAAATAAACCTAATAATTAAACACCATTTAGTGGTACTAAGGCATCATTGATTTAATATTGGAATTTCAAAATGGTACCAAATAAAGCTGGACAGGTACTTTATGCACATTTAACCATAATAGTCTGGTCAAACACAACCTTTCACAAGTCACCAAATACAATAATGTTAATCTATGGTATCTACTACAGGGGCCCTTACACAATCACCAGTTGTGTATGGTTTTGAATAAAAATAGCAGTCATAAGTTTCGAACAGTCTCATGACCACTTTCATTATTGACAATCATAAACAACTGGTACATGTATATTACTATGGTGTGAGGGCCCCTAAAGATGGTACCTACTAAGATAGGCAAGTCACTTTACAATTTCATTCTTAAATGACTTGCTCCTATCATTATAAACACAGAAAGGTGTTATTCAGCACAAAATGTCAATCTAATTCATTTAAAATTCTCAGTGTATCACTCTCTCATCAAATTAACCAAGCAATTCTATTTTAATTAGTGAAAATAAAATCTGATTATATTACATACGAGTTTGTAACAATGTAATCTCCGAGTAAAATGGCACAGCAGGATTTTAATCTCAAACCCCAGAATTTTATTTCACTTTCTTGTTTGTACTTAAGATAATGAGACCTCCACCATTTTTCAATTACAAAGAAAATTTGCGTGATTTCAGGAGAAAAAATAAAGCTTTAGAGATTTTTTCCAAACCTTCAAATGAAATGGATAAAGTAGATTACTCTTCCTCTTCGCATCTTCACAATGTCAAGCTATTACAAACTTGTCTTATACCTTGACTGCAATAACCACTATTCTTGTATTGATTGTACGCCAGCAAATACAGCCCTAAACAGAAAGCTTCTAAACATAATGGTTTTGTGTCGATGCATCTGATTGGCTGTATTGCTAGTGTAAAAACCAATCAAATCACTTCATTTACAAACTTTACAGGCAAATATTGGCTATTGCAGTCAAGGTATAAGTACAAAGTTTTTAATAGCTTGACATTGTGAAGATGAAGTTTGTAATAGCTTGACATTGTGAAGATGAAGTTTGTAATAGCTTGACATTGTGAAGATGAAGTTTGTAATAGCTTGACATTGTGAAGATGAAGTTTGTAATAGCTTGACATTGTGAAGATGAAGTTTGTAATAGCTTGACATTGTGAAGATGAAGTTTGTAATAGCTTGACATTGTGAAGATGAAGTTTGTAATAGCTTGACATTGTGAAGATGAAGTTTGTAATAGCTTGACATTGTGAAGATGAAGTTTGTAATAGCTTGACATTGTGAAGATGAAGTTTGTAATAGCTTGACATTGTGAAGATGCCCATCCTCAAGTTCCTACTCCATTCTGACACAAAATACTTTTCATGACAAATGTATTATTCAAAGTTATAATTTTCATTGGTTGACAATATCAAATGTAAAGTGTAAAATGTAACTATTTTGTTTCTATGAAAAATACAAAGTGTTTTAAACAATATGAACTTACTCAGTACATTAAAGATAATGTTACAATTTTTAAAAACTTAAGACAAAACATCATTGATTATAGTAAGTTGTAATATCAAAACACAAAGCTTAATTGTTAATCAAATTAGATAGTGGATCATATACAATAACTCCTACTTTGCCTTGAAGTTAGTGAAATAAAAACTTTGACCAATTATCTTTCAGGATCACTAGGATTGACTTGGGGGATCTCAAAATTGAAATTCTCAACATGAAATTCAGATATTCAAATAAGTGTTTCTCTATAAATAATATAAAAATATAATATAATATTTCCCTCATTTGGTAACGTTGGTCTGAGGCCTTATTCTCAAAAAACTGAACTTAAGATGATTTTAGTATTCGAGTCATCTCATTGGTCGAACACTAACATTGATTTTAAAATCAGTTTTATTAATCCAATTTCATTACTGAATATTTTACATATGGATTTTATTTTACTTAAGTTTAAGTCCCCTGAACCTCGTTTCTCGAAAGTTTGAGCGACTAAACTTTTATCTAAAGTGAAGAAAAATGTTATTTTAATTTATAACGTTTATGTCCATACGTTAATCTACAATATTTTAAGAAACAGGGACCTGACCAAAACAATAATTTGAGTTTTATCATCAAAATAAAGTCAAGTATTTAAATGGAGAAGTTATGTTGATGATGATCACACTACCTCAGGGTTAACACCGCTAACAGTCAAACCATGTTAAATCTCATCTCACAGATATCAGAATAATTACTCCGAGATAAACTGATCACAACATTATTTACTAAAACATGGACATAGCTTCAGGTCATTACAATAACTCATTTGAACTAGGAACTCGGTTAAAAAACAAAAAAACATCTAAAAAACTTTATGTGGACAATATCAACTACCAAATATCATTATTTGCTATTATGAGAGACCAAATATGATTTAGATGCATTATGCAAAATTATTAAGGTAACTCAAAAGGAGCTTAAAGAACTTTTTATATATATCAGGAATACTAATTGCATCAATTTCCATTCCAATTTTCAATCAGACGTCTGTGGTTCTTGCAATTCCACTAAAACTTAACGTTTTATGACGTCATTATAGCAAAAGCTGCTTTTGATATACAAGGAGCTCTGCGATAGTGACGTCATAAAACACTTAGTTTTATTGAAATTGCAGGAACCACAGACGTCTGATTGAAAATAGGAATGGTGTAAATTGATGCTATCAGTGTCCCCTAAATATATAAATATTTGAGAAAACCTCTTTACAATCCCTGAATTGTAATCTTTTAAACAGAATCTGTCATTTGAAAGTAGACCAAAAGTAACATTTGAAAGTAGACCAAAAGTAACATTTGAAAGTAGACCAAAAGTAACATTTGAAAGTAGAACAAAAGTAACATTTGAAAGTAGAACAAAAATAACATTTGAAAGTAGAACAAAAGTAACATTTGAAAGTAGACCAAAAGTAACATTTGAAAGTAGACCAAAAGTAACATTTGAAAGTAGACCAAAAGTAACATTTGAAAGTAGAACAAAAATAACATTTGAAAGTAGAACAAAAGTAACATTTGAAAGTAGAACAAAAGTAACATTTGAAAGTAGAACAAAAGTAACAGTATATTTTGATCTAACTCTGAATAAGAATCAGTGAAGTAGTTCTTGTTGTTAAAATGTTTCATATTATTTATCATAAATCAATCTTTAATAGAATTATCACAGTGAAAATTATCTATTAAATTTTAAATGTCTAGCTCATTAGAAATAGAAATATTTAAAATTCTTGTCAACAGATTGTGTTACCCAATTCTTGTACAATTTTTAAGAGAAATTTAATAATGACAGAAAACGTAACGAGAATTTGAATGACGGATATCTTTCCACTAACAACATCATAAATTTAAATTTGATATTTTCACGCTGTCTCTTAACGACAAATAAATATGGTGGTTTAGTCAATTTACACTTTATTTCCTTCTCAGAAATTTGGCCGTGATGATCTAACTTCCACACGTTCAACAGAAATCGGTTATCCTGTATAAATTAAATTATTTCTTCACGATGCCTTCCAGATGTAATGATTAATTATTTTTATTTCCATATCTCCTTTTTAATCAAATTATTCTCACGTATAAACGGCACGTTAACGCTATTTGTTGTTATAAATAGAACACAGTAATAACACCAGTGTGTTGATTGGGTGCTGTAACCACCATATTTTGTTATGTAATAAGATCGCAGGTCACTATATTGCATATTTGAACTGATTTTAGTGTTTTGTTAATGGCTCGTTAAATCGTTTATAGAAACAGTGTGGTCATTTCAGAAAGATGGTGTAATTAAGAAAATAATTAAAAGTCTACATCTGATCTCCACAAACAAGTTATAATTATAATATC